CTAACCGACAACAGTACTGTCACTTATCAGTCCAGAATGCTTGGAATAGTAAGTATACACAGTTGTACTGTGTACTTAGTGTGTTGACTTTAGAATTTCGCTTTTTTCCCGTCGCTAAAAATAGGCCCCATACCTGTCCTCCTTACAGATTCTCGCTTCCGTTGTATGCACTATGAGCTTGTCAACGATCAGTGAAGTTCGCTTCTCTGTATTACACTGTACGATGATAATGATAACAGTCGGAAAAAGTNNNTTTCAAACACGCGTGGGAATACTTGCTTTCAGTGTCAACGTCTTCTGTCTTATATGTTGGTTGCTGTTCCTAGTTTTCGAACGAACTTTGTTCTCTCACGACAACTGTCCATCGCACTGTATTTGGTCATGACCATGAGCTCTTCCCTCCCGGGGGACGGGAGGGGGTCGTTTCGGAAAGGTAGATTTTCGAGTCCATGAGTGAATTTGCAGATAGTACCAAGATGTAACGGCGATGATATGGCGATTACAGACAGGATGGGTTGATTTTTGCGTCAAACTACAGATCTTTTCGATCTCCTTCATATTGGATAAACACCAGAAAAACATCTTCAGTTGGGTTTGGTCAGCTTGAGACATCTATGGCTCCATTCCTACGTCCGCCTGTTTGAAGAGTCGAGCATATAATGCAGCAGTTCGGTCAGTGCTGTTATATAATGCAGGGATTTGTCCATCACGAGGGCAGGCTGCCGGTATTCGAAATCCCCTACCCCTCGCTCTCAACGGCGCAATACACGAGTTTGGTAGGTGAACCGACCAAGTACCACCGAGGTCAGGTACAGAGTTGCCGACAGTCGTGGTCGCCCATCATCTCTATAGATTAGATTAGGTGTCTCAGCCGATGATGTTTACCGACGCAGGTATTTGGTTGAACAGTCAAAGATGGTCAGGCTAAGACCGGGAATGAGGGTATGAAAATCCTGACCGAAGGACTCGATCGCGTTAGGTCACGACCGTGTAATCGATGGTGAGAGACCCTGTGTGATAGGACTGAGTGTCATTAATAGTGGCGTTCGTGTATCTGCTCAGTACCTTTTCAAACTTAGTTTACTTAAATTCTTTTTCTTTAGCCTGATACTGCTTCCAGCATTTGAATTCTTCCCTCTACTGTTTCATTGAAATAAGTAGTCATTAGACAGCATCGAAAACTACCTCATGAAAGTGCACGTGTAATCTTTGCATCAACTAAAACTAATCTGTAGATAGTGGATTGCAGACCCCAAAGGTTGTCCGGGACATGAAATGTGATGACTTTGGACGGTACTGGTCACGGAACACAAGTACACGATCTTCGGGGCAATATGATCGTCACTTACTGGTATTTGTTCATGGACTGCAAGAAATTTTGAGCTGTTATTTGAAGTTTAGACTACAGATTGTTTGGACCGAAGGTTGCCTGGCTCGTCGATGGGCGTTATAGTAGTGAATTTAATCCAATACATGCTTTAGGCGTATTTTTGGGTGCATGAAATGCGATTTCGATACTTATTTCAAACATACTTTAGATGCTTACCTCAAACCCCATCACTACTTAATTAATACATGGCAATCTTAGTTCTTAGAGCAGCTATCACTCCTCTCCCTCCGTAGACAGCTGTAAGGATCATGCTGATCGATTATCTCTTGCTGCCTTGCCCATTTTCTTTGTGGATTTGGGCTCTCTTCGGACTCAATAGTTTTCTTTTTCAACGTTTCCTGTATATGTCGTGATAACCATTCCCGTACTGACCACAACTAACCGACCAGCTGACCAACAAGCTGCATGTAACAGGATGAGTCAGCCTGCAGAGAAGCGCGTACAAACATTGCTTTGACACTCGTCCCATACTACGTCGTTGTCGTCTTCATCGTCGTGGTCCTCGTTGTTGCAGTCGTCTCCTCTTAGCGTATACTGTGACACACACACACGCACATTGGTATTTTCGGGTGTCGGCTCACTTTCGTGCGGCCGCGCGTATGCCTGCTTGCTTGTCAGTGTGTGGTGCGCATGTACAAGCTACGCGGACGACCAGAAGTGATGAGACAGCGTTGTCCGCGTCTTGGCCTGCTGACGCTCGACCTGAACTGCGTTAGGTCCAGAAACTAGGTCACGTGCGTTACCTTGACTGTGCACACAGTATTCGTAGCGGTACTGTGACTATTCGCTGTCTTCGCGCCACTACCGTGCGAGCTGCTGGTGGTCTATCCATCTCCTGCTTACTGATGTCCGTCTGTGTATGTATGTTATCCTCTGGCTCTGCTTGTGGGGGTCTGTTTGTGTGCTAGTTTCATTCTCGTTTGATCGTCAGTCCGGGGAAAGCGGTGGTAATCACATGGGTGAATGCCTGTGGTCGCAGGCAAAAGAAGGCACAGTCAACATCGTCACACAATCGAACGGTGGACCACGCACGCGTCTTCGTTATTGACCAATTAAGTTCATGCGGTGAAACCAGGTTCCTTCGTGCTGCTGTTGAGAGCGTGTATCGGTTGTGACTCAATTGTGAAATCAAAAAGTAGTGGAAACGGTTACGCCCAAGGAATCTGTCCCGTAGTCGGTCTAGGATTTGAAGTGTTTTGCGTTCAGTGCACGGATTGCGTGATGTTCTCGTCCTAAGTTATCTCGCAGTTGTCTTAACTGCACACTCTTTGTAAAGCGTTATTGAGATCAAGGTAACCGAGGCTTAGAGATACTGAGTGATATGACTAGATGTCGAAAGCAGTAGCGCTCGTGCATCTAGTCATTATTTTTGCAATTCGAGTCTGCATAAATTTTCTATCTTCTCTTTGAATCTGCTCTCGAAATTCCAGTTTTCACTCTCCTCTTCTATCCACAAGGGCAGCGAAAAGACAGCAAGAAGACCCGCGTATGAGAGTGCATGGTTGATGGTTGTTAAGATTGAAACTGATTGAATTTACTGTGATGCTGGTTGTCCGTTTTGGTCATGATCATTTCCTCTCTTTTTTCACTTAGCTGTGGCTGTTAATCCCTTTTAAGTAATTGTCACTGTCGTGCTTTGGACTCTGAGGTTAGAATTTTGTATCCTGGCATCATCACCAGAGTTTCGGAGTAAGCTACTTCGCTGTCGTCCGGTTCAAGTTCTGTCACGTATACTGCCCCAGTGTGCGGGCAGTTCTAGTGTACGGTTGCGAAACCCTAAATTTGCACATGTAAGATATTCATCGTCTAGAATTCTCCAATTGCCGATGTTTACGTAGCTTGGCGCGGGTCGGTGGAAGCGAGTATGTAAACAACCCTGGGGTAAGTCGTTGCGTATTTGGTGATGATTCGGTGGGAAAATCGTTATCAAATGAAATTCAGATGACTAGGCTTCGCTGGCTAAAGCACGTTTTGCGTATACTCAGCTGTCGTCTACCTCATCGCGCCATCCGTCAAAGTACTTTATGCAATTACGCGATCCTTCTTATCTCATAGTTTAAAGTTGTTCATAGATGCAAATGTTTGATAACCGACAAAGAGCACTGGACAGCTGTTTCGTCCTGTTTGGAACTCGTCAGCAGTGCGTACTTTTTGTGTCCCTGTCAAGACACCATCTCCCAACGAGTGAAACCCACACCGAACATCAACAGTGCCTAGTGCCTGTGAAAAACCGCATGGGCTAATCCAGACGTTCACCATCTAAGTTGTTCATAGGTGCATCACTGTCAAAGGAGTACGGTTGCATGGTGGAATAATCATGTCAGAAATGGTGAAGTTAAACGAAGAACGAAAGACTTAGGCTCTCAACCATCATAGACGTCGTGATCTAGTGTGTTTTACGCGTGTATCCGGACCTACTTATCAATACAGGTTGTAATTAGAGAGTATATGAACGTATAGAATTCACTATTTTTGCTAAAAAGAGGTAGCGAAGTGTCCTGAGCAACGGTGTTCCCTTAGATTATTTTTTTCTGATGCATTTATTCCTAATCGCACAGTATGCTAGTTCAGTCTATGCATCGCATTCTCTGAGAATCGGAGACGCAAACCGCGCGATTCCTTTGCTAGGTCATACATGTATAAACTGAAAACCGATTAAGTACCGCAACAGTTAGCACTCCCGTCCAAGGCTCTCATTCACAAGGCAGTTCATAAGATCTGCGGGTAACCAAGTGTGATAATACTCCAAATATTTGACTGGTCTAGGTTCCAACAGAGACGATTATCATGTGCCGAAAAATGACTCGGTAACCATACTAATGTCATCCTGCATAAGAGTCCTCACGTTGGAAGCCCCCGGATTGAGAGTTTTACGAGGCTTCAGAAACTGCACTTTATTTACAGGCAAACTATTTACAATACTATTTGGCAATGACCTTTGGCGAGTGACGACCAAGTTGTCTTGGGGAATGTTACGGGTAGGAAAAAGGGGTAAAGGGAGAGGGTTGGGTATGGAAGACAAAGAGTTAAACGAAGGTTTATGATTTCTGAGCAGTGGTCCACTTTTCACTACCCCCCCCCTCGATGCAATGCGTAGCGCGTTTCTGATTGTCCTGCGCGACGACCGATGCAGTATTAAATTATTTTTAGTATGTGTTCATTGGAGCTTTATGGACGGGTACTGCCAGGTTGTCTAGCCACTAAACAGGAGAACAATTAGGGTTATCAGCCAATGCCTTCAGTTCTGACAAGAACTTAACCGCGAGGCAGTGGTTAAGGCGGTATGAAGGCCCATTTACTTGGATCGATTACTCCTCTAATTTCACCCTGACACTGTTTTGAACATTTCAGTCTTTCCAATACTCCCTCATTGAAATGGGTAGTAATGAGATAGCAACCAAAATCGGCTCACGAAAGTGCATGGTTAATGATTGTAAAAATTGAAACTGAAACATTCGACACGAAGAAGTGTGACCGAATTTCATATCGAGATGGCATGCTTAATAAATACCTCTTTCTCTTTAGACGTACCATATTATTATGATCTTGATTTTTACTCCTACTGTTTTTTTCTTATTTTGTGCACCTAATTTCGTCTTTTTCACTTTAGATGGGCTGGTATTGGGGTCCGTTGAGCTTTCAAGAGGCGCAAATCCTGTTGGCTAAACGACCTGACGGAACATTTCTGGTTCGAGATAGCGGACACGCCACCTATATCCTAAGTCTGAGTTTCCGAGTCCGAGGTGAAACGTATCATACGAGGATTGAACACAGCCAAGGTAAGCGTTGACATTGCACATGGCACGTTGTTTCGGTACTTTTCACTCTTATTTTTTGTACCAAACGAGATGTGTGTATTGTGATGTAAACATGTATGACGTTTTCTGTAAACTTCGTTTAAGTTGAGCTTCATTTTCGTCCGTTTGTCACAAAAGTGTAGTAGAAAGCGGTGATTTTTGTGCTCCTTTGTGATCTGTTTTGCATTTTCATATATGAAGTAATTCAATTGTCTACTGAGTATTTTGACAGGGTCTTCCCTAAAGATGACACCAAAATTGCACAGCTATTATTGTCGGTATAAAGTGAATGTGAATTTGCGTGTATGCGTTGCTGCTACTTCTTGTGTATGAGTCCGTCTCGACAGAACCCGAATCTCACGGAAAATTCATCACTTGATGGGGTGGCTTTTGAGCATGTTTCTAAAATGGAATTATTTTACGTCGATTCCCGGTTCAATTCACATACCTCCCCATGCATCTGAGTCTCATTTTCGTTCTGTCTGCACGTGCGTACTTTCTGTCATCCTTTAGCAATGATGACTCCGAAACAACAAGAGGGATGGCATGTTTTGCTCAGACACCAGCTTCTGTTTTTTGAGTGCATTTGTGCATTTGTAATACAAACCTAACAATATTCTCGTGTTCTCGTTCGTGTGTGTGTGTGTGTGTGTGTGTGTGCGTGCATGTATGTATATAACTGTGCGATCAACGCCTGTTTTGAACGGAAATAAGAGGCCAAATCAAATCTTGCATCGTTGACACTCGTCTTAAGCACTTGAACCGTGTTTACGTAATTAAGGTCCGTTTATCTATCTGTCCATCCATTTGTTCACCCATCCATCCATTTTTCTATGTCTGCTTGCTGTCTACCTACCTATCTACCTGCCTGCCACATAACCAAACCACGGGCCAATTCTAACTACCCTAGATCTTTCGTGTGTGCGGTGTGGTGACGATGGTGGTCTACACCTATGTACATTGTTGTCTGTTTGTATGACCACACACACAACTAGCTGGGAGACAGCGAGTCTACTACTCGCCGAGGTGCATTGTCTGACTGTATTCGATTGATCGTCTTCACATGCTCTATTTTCTATCGCGCTCTCACTCTGCGTGTTTATCCGCATCTATTTGTGCCTTGGGACATTGCTTGCGAGACGAATTTCCGCGTGCTTCTCGAAGTAACCACAACTTTCGAACTCCATGTTTATTTATCGATGCAGTGTGATTCGTCAATAGGAGCAATGAATTCGACTCCCACAAACTTATATTGCCTAGATCCACTGACTGTTGCTCCCACATGATGCCCTGCATTTTTCAGTGTTGGAAAAATCAAATC